GCTAAGCTCATGAGGTCCTCAACCGTAATGGTTTAGAGCTTAGGGTTTAGGGTTTATAGGGCTTAGGGTTCAGGGTTTAGGGTTTAGAGTTTAGGCTTTAGAGTTTAGGGTTCAGGGCTTAGGGTTTAGAGTTTAAGGTTTAGGGTTTAGGGTGCTTAACCCTCATACGGTTGATGATATAAATCCTGCGTTGCCCATAACGAGGAGTATACCATAATTCCCATAGTTGAGGGTCCTTAAGGCTCATCAACAGTATCTTGAACCCCTTCTAGATCGTTGATTACAGGCCCCGCAACTCATCCCTAAACCCCTAATCCCCAACCTTTATAGATCGTCTATCGTTGATTATAGTACAGACCCCTTCAGAGGATCCCTAAACCCTAAACCCTAAACCCTAAACCCTAAACCCTGAACCCTAAACCCTAAACCCTAAACCCTGAAGGATCCTTTATAAGACCCTTAAAGGAAGCCACATTTTGCCCATCTACCCGAAACTGTTTCCGACTGCAGGCTCAGCGGGCTCAGTGGCCTGGAGGTGCTCTTCTGCTGTTTGCTTAAGGTAAGCCAGGGTTTAGGGTTTGGGGATTAGGGTTTAGGGTTTAGGGTTTAGGGACTTTTAGAGCTTCCTTTAAAGGGGTTTAGGGGTTTAGGGGTTTAGGGTTCAGGGTTTAGGATTTAGGGTTTCTAGGGCTCAGGGTTTAGGGTTTGGGTTTAGGGTTTAGGGTTTAGGGTTTAGGATTTAGGGTTTAGGATTTAGGGTTTATAGGGCTCAGGGTTTAGGGTTTAGGGTTGACGAGACCATCAAAGTCGGGATAAGGGTTTTGGAGGTAACTCAGCTTACGTTTCCGACCATGACATGACTTTGTGGCCGCTTCCGTGACTGATCTCGGTGTTAATTCTGACATTAAATGCACCATACTGTGCGCGTGTGTCTTGGTCGACAGTAGTTGTGAGAAGTTTCTGTCGAGAGTTTATTGTCGGGACGTGCAAGACGAAGTTATGTACATATTGAGGTAAACGGTTCTCCAGTGTGTATGGAACAAGTGTGATGAGGTGTCGAAAGAAATTGGAAGCCGTGCCATGATTTTGCTGTAGAACCTTAAACTCGCGCAGGTACCCTGCATAAGGCACCCGGAACCCCATCACATGGTGTCATACCTGCTTCCAGATCAGGGAATGCAAAGGGGTTGCTTTAATTTTAGAGTGCAGGTTGTTGCAGCGCAAGGTTGGCATTGCGAGGCTAGAATGCAAGCTTAGTTTGGATTCCAGAGTGCTTCATGACTTCGCGCTACCTTTACATTCCTTGTTTCGAAACATTATACTCTAGTGCACCTCAAGGCCTATTCTAACCATGAAGGCCCCTTCGTTAGAACCTTGCGTCAGGATCCGCCAGTACCGCCATTGCCTCCGCCTTTGGTGGCAAAGTTGAATCTGAATGTGAACGAGGCCTTTGGATGTCGCCTTAGGTGCAAAGAAGTTAGCCTTGAGGTTGCAAGGCCGACAGAGGAGAAGTGAGCATATGCAGGATTCGGCACATTGGGAACATTTCTTTGGGTTTAGGGTTTAGGGTTTAGGGTATAGGGTTTAGGCTTTTCCGTGAAATGCAGTCAAAGTTCTCACGCCTTCTGATTTCACAGGTGATTGCTCGAGAAGCGTCGCGGACTGTGCCGGACAGCACGCCCGTCGTCAAGGCGTTGGCAGGAACATGGGATGCCAACAGCTAGCTGCAGTCGAAAGTGGTCACTAGGCACTTGGAGTCAAAACCCTAAACTCTAAGCCCTATGCCCTAAAGTTCGAATCCTAGACCCATAGCTCCCAACCTCTCTGCACGTTGCATTGGGGCACGAGCCCACACCCTCGACCCCAAACTGGGATACCACTCTTGCTTTCTTTTTTACAAGGGTTGTCGTAGGGACTAGATCGGGTACTGCCCCCACCCGGTAACTGTCTAAATTAGGTGCCATATGAAGACAGAGTGGGGACAGTGTCCAGGCGAAACCCTAATTTTTACCTAAACCCTGAACCCCGAACTCCTAAACCCTAAGCCCAAAACCCAAAGCCCCTAACTCCCAAACCCTAAACCCTAAACCCTAAACCTAAAGGGCGTCGAAGGGCGTCTGGTCCCTGCAGGCGATCTTCTTCGTTCTCAGCCGGCAGCCTGGATTTTGCTGCCCCCAAACCTGCAAATCTCAACCTTTAAGGGTTTGGGGTTTAGGGTTTAGGGTTTGCAAGGGCATTTCCATTTTGGGTAATAACCTACCACAACCCCACCCCACCAAGCCTGACCATACCCTGGAAAATCCATATTCCCCATCATCCACCCCGATACCCTATGATAAACCAAAATGGAAATGCCATATTCCAATGATTTGTAAGTAAGATAACCCCAAATACCCAAACCATAACAGCCTAACGCCACCCCACTCTGCGCCATTGCCCCCGAAATCCACCTGCCCAAGCACACCATTCCTTTTATCCCAGACTTGCGTAATCTAGACGAATTACTGGGACGACCTGGCCAACGCGGCTCTGACGAAGCTGACAAGGTCGGACTGTTCACAACTCCGGTTGCGGCACCCTGTCAATTACATTCATTCCTAGAGTTGTCCGCTCGTGTAGCCAGCAGAGTTGAAGGTAAAGCTGCCAGATTCCTCCAGTGGAAGTTCTCCGTCCTGCATTCCGCAGTGCCAAAGTTCACGTTGCACAGCCCCTGCGTCCGATCTCGCCGGCAGAGGGCGAAGAGCTGAGCAGGCCGTTGCTTGACAGCAGCGGTGCGAAGCGCTGGTGCCCTGGGCATAAGGGTACGTGTTCGGGGGTGGCTTTGGCAATGGTCATTGCTTGCACTGTTCGTGTGGCATTGGCGCAGCAGCCCTTGCTCAATCCCTCAATGAAGAAGTTGGCGATGCTTGTTGCCATGCAAGACCAGTCAAGTATTGTCCATGGAATTGAGAACATACCGAACTTGACCGGCATTTTCCACATCTGCGGCCGAAATGTTCCGACACAGCTGCTGGAATTTCCAGACGCGAAGCCTTGGGTTAAGAAGAACTTCGAGGCCTGCATGGCTACATTCTGGGGGTGGGCGCCCATGTCGTCATCTCTGTCAAGCATTGCAATCCACAACGAAGAAGAGCTTTGCACCTGTGCAGCTATCGATTCGAGCGCATCGGATGCGGATTTTGAGAGCCGTTTAGGCAAAGTTTTGGATTGTAGGTGGCTGATTCATGCGGACAAGATTGCAGCCACAGCCTGCTTTGCCGAAGCCTGTCCGAGCGCAGTCAAAGATGACTCCCATTGAGCCCCCAGGGTTTAGGGTTTAGGGTTTAGGGTCTTATTCTGTTCATCAGTCAAGAATGTCGAGTTATTGACCTGCCGGTGTTTGGGGGAGCTTTCGTTTGCAGAGACGCGATTCCGATCGTTTGAACCTGGCAGGCGTTCACCAACTCTCGCCTTGTGGCTCGTGGGAAAAGACTTGCGCTCGACATTCATGAGCCCTCACAAGCCCGAACCCTAACGGCCTTAACCTAAGCCCTATAAACCCTAAATCCAGAACCCTAAACCCCAAGCCTTATAAACCCTAAATCCAGAACCCTAAACCCTAAAGCCTCAGCCCTAAACCTTAAACCCTAAAGCCAGAATCCCAAATCCAGAACCCTCAACCATGGCTAAGGTTGGAGCCTGGACAGGCTTTATGATTCCCGACCCATACAGAAGTTCTGGGCCGCGGCCTGAGGTGTCCATCAGAAACAGGCTCTCATATCGGATGCTTTAGAGGGTGTTGAGGTTGGGTTCTAGGGGTTACTTAAAGGATCATGGGACTTAGTAACTAAGGTTATTATTCGGATAACTATGCTTATAACTACTTATAACCCCATTTTAGGAACTTATAACATCTTATAACCATACTTACTAAGTCCCATGATCCTCCAAGTAGGGTTTCGGGGTTGGGTAGGGCTTAGCGGTTTGGGTTTAGGGGTTGGTTAGGGCTTAAGTAGGGGTTAGGGCTTAGGAGTTAGTGTTTAGGGGTTGGTTAGGGTTCATTCAAGGGTTGCTTGGCTTTAGGGTTCAGGATGCCAGACGATGGTGTTAAAGGGGCCTGAATGGTACCTGGGTGGTTGTCAAAATTATGGTCCTTTTCTGGGTCCTTATTATTATACGGCACCTATTATTTAGGGTACCCCAAAAGGGACCCTAATTTTGATAACCACCCACCTGCATGGAGAGACGAAAAGGGGAAATGCGAAATGCTTGTCCTGCCCCTAAGACATGATCTTAGCATACGGGTAGAGTCTAAATTAGGGTCCCTTTTTAGGTCCCCTTAAATCTAGCGCGGCACCCTTATGAAAAGGGACCAAGGGCCCCGAAATTATCCGAAATTAGACAACTACCCATATGACAGAGCCTGGGAGCGGGGGGAGGGTCATTTCGGGCGTGACCGCGTGTGGCTCCTCCCGCCGTGATGCTTCCGCTTCAGCTTACCTTAAGGACCAGATGACCCTTAAAAGTAGAGGGCCTGTACGCGGTTTAGGGTTTAGGGTTTAGGGTATACTTATGAATCCCTGATCGTGTTTGAACCTTAAACCCTTTTAGTGTTTAAGGTGGGGTGTAGTGTGTAGGTTGGCCCACCCAGCTACGACTGAAAATCTAAACCATTCGTGTTTAGGGGTTTTGGGTTTAGGGTCCCAAACCCCGCTATCTGCAATTATCAAACCCAAAGGCTCCATGTACCTTTATAGTAGATACTTAGGCCTTAAAGGGGGTCCCTATGTAGGTACTTTAAGGCCTAAGTATCTACTATACAGGTACATGGAGCCTTTGGGAAAGCCCCCGAACCACCCCAACAAAAAGTCGTGCACCTTAAACTGCACCAGAGATCCTCGAATCTCGAATTCCTATCCCGTGCCATGGGCGGCTTGCGGCAGTCATACAGTGAGCCGACGTTGCCGAACCGGTCTCTCCTGCAAGGTGACATGTCAGTGCATTTTTAGAGGGTTAAGGGTTTAGAGTGCAGTTTTAGACGGTTAAGGGTTTAGAGTGCATTTTAGAGGGTTAAGGGGTTAGAGTGCATTTTTAGAGGGTTTAGGGTTTAGACTTTAACTATATTGTAGAGCGTCATCCTTTCAGGTTTCCGAATAAAGCTGTAGAAAACCTACACAGCAGTTATTCAGGTTCCTGGACTACTTTGACAATAGAGTCATGATTCGAGATCATAGGGTACAAGTAGGGAGGAACACCGGATGAGTCCACATCTAGCCCCTATTAGGCTCCTCATCTTGGCCCTGAATGAAATATTTGATGCTGATGATGCTCTGAATGAAATATTTGATGCTGATGATGATATAAATCTGCATCACCTTAAGGACCCTAAACTATGGGAAGTATGGTATTTTCATTATCATGGGTAATGCAAGATTTATATCATCAGCCGTAGTAGCTAGACATGTTAAGGCCGTTAAGGAAGCATGTTCAGAGCTGCCAGGCCGCTGGATCGACAGTGGTAGGGCTTGGCTGTGTGAAGACGGCGACTGCCAAGTATAGTAGTATCCATAGGGTTTAGGGTTTAGAGTGTAGGGTTTAGGATGTTTTAGTTTAGGGTTTAGGGTTTAGAATTTAGGGTGGGTTTTGGGTTTGAGGGTAGTAATGTCCACCGAAACCTTGATAGGCATTGGCACAGATCCTTCCTTATTAATTCCGCGTGCTTCAGCAGCTGATGGATCTCAGGAGGCCATGCGGTGCTGCACCGGCACGCGGATTTCGAGACACAGCGGAAGGCGCCTTTAGGATGTCTTTCAGATGATGTGGTGCCCCCACCCGGCTTAGGACTTAAACGGGTTTGCGGTTATGGCTTCTGGGAAGGTCTGCCCTAAACCCTAGACCCTGCACCCTAAACCCGGACAGTGTAGGTGCTGCAGCACTACCGGCGTTTGGATGGCGTGAAGCCATCCGTACATCGGGAGCAACAAGAGAGCCTCCTGGCTGCACTTGGCTCATACCGGAATCCCAGCCCGAGCTCTAAATCAAAACCGCTAAACCCAGGTTCGTTGAGACATTATAGACTGATAAATATCATAACCGCAATTAGGACCCCTTTTAGGATACTTATATATGTCTTCGTATTTGCCAGTCCCGCACTCGAGCTCTTACGTCTCGCGAAGCGCATCCAACAGTGATTTCGAGAGACTAGAGGCCCTTGACTAGCCAGACAAGTTTGGCATTGTATAATATAGGGGCCTAAATAATTACCAATAGTATTTTGGGGGTTCCTTCTTATAATATTAGTGCAATGGACTCCCCAAAACCCTATTCTAATTATTGCGGCTCCTACATTATACCCCAAAAATAAACCCTAAAACCTAAAACCCTAAAACCCTAAAGCCCTAAACCCTAAACCCTAAACCCTAAAACCCTAAACCCTAAACCCTCATAGCCCAAAGCCACGAGTCCCAGGAGACTTCCAGAAGCACCGCCGGCTCCTTCAGATTCGCCAGCGCTTCCCTCTGAAGCCACTGCCCGGGCACCAGGACAGCAGGCCCTGGGAAAAGGGACGTAGGGTTGATGATATAAATCCTGCATTACCCATAATAAGGAATCTACCATAATTCCCATAGCTTTTGGTCCTTAGTGTTAATGCAGGATTTATATCATCAACGGTAGTACGGTTGTTGGTTTAAGTCTGAATTTGGGGCTTGGGTAGGTTCGAGGTCTTAGTGTTTAGGGTTCCGGGTGTTGGGAATAGGGTATAGGGTTTTGGGTATAGGGTTTTGGGTTTTGGGAGTGTTTGGGGTTTAGAGATCTCAACATCTCGGAAGACTTGCCGTAAGCCGAGCCGGGCTAACGCAATGTCAGGGTTAGGGTTAAGGGGGGATATAAACCCTAAACCCCTAAACCCTAAACCCTAAACCGTATAAACGCAACGCGGGGCAAGCCGAACGATAGCGCGCGAGTCAATGATTCAGGCTCCGATCCGAAACCCTCACAATACCAGGGTTTAGGGTTTAGGGTTTAGGGTTTAGGGTTTAGGGTTTAGGGTTTAGGGTTTAGGGTAATACCCCTTAGTTAAGGAATATACCTTAAATCAGAAGAGTAAGGCCCCTACAATTTAAGGTATATTCCTTAATTAGGGGGTATTGGGTTCTCCGGCCCCATGCAACACCCAACGCAACAAACTATAGACGCCTTATACGAAACCTTTAAACTTTAAGCCCTACGCCCTAAACCCTAAGCCGTTTATTAAGGCCCTTATGCCTTGCAGGAGTCGTATTCTACGAGTTCAGGCCCCAGTAAAACCCCTTCCGGGCCTTGGCAGGCGGAATCGGAAACCATGTGGGTTTCGGGTTTAGGGTGTAGGAATGAACCCCAGAACTTAAAACCTTTGAGCCCAAAACCCATAACCCTTAAGCCCAAAACCAAACCCTGACTTTTTACCCAGTTCTTCATCCGTTCCACCCTAGCAAGAAACCAGCCAATACACACTCGAACAAAAACCATTTTGTTTTATTCGCGCGTGTGTTCATTTCTATTGTCACTTTCGAGACTTTTGATGGATCTTGCTCCTGCTCTGGTCCTTGCTCCTGCACTTGCTGTTGCTCCTGCTCTTTCTCTGACTGCTCTTGCTTCTGCTCTTGCTCTTACTCCTACGCTTGCTCTTACTCCTGCTCTGGCTTGTGCTCCTGAACCCTCCGAGTGCAACCTAGGTTTTACATGGCCGGGATGATTTCCGAAACCCTGGACCCTAAACCCTGGGGTGTTTAAAATGAATCCGGGAAAGGAATTTAAAGCCCTTGGAGGGCCCGTAAGGGGAACAAAAAAAGGTGCAAAGGCCTAAGCCCTAGACCCGAAACCCGAAACCTTATAAAGCTTGACTCCCCTAACACTCTAAGCCCTAAGTGTTATAGACCCCTTTACAGAGCCCCTGCAGAGCCCATAATTTGGGTTTAGGGTTTAGGGTTAAGGTTTTAGGGTTTAGGGTTTAGGGTTTAGGGTCCCTAAACCCTAAACCCTAAACCCTAAACCCCAAAGCCCAAAGCCAGCCTACGCAGGCAGAATCCCTCTCGCCGCGGCTTCGAGCGCAAGTTGGAGCAGATGTTGCTCCAGGTGGTCCTGGCCTTCAGGTTTAGGGGATTTAGGGTTTAGGG